CGGACGGACCGGTTCCGATCGGCCGTCGCCAGCGGACAGCTTTTAAAGCGTCCGGCCGGCCGGTTCGGACATAGCCCGTCCGACCGGCCAAACTTTTCGGACGGCTTTCAACCCGTTCGAACCGGCCGGCCGGACGGCTTTCAACCCGTTCGAACCGTCCGGTTCCGACAGCCGGACACAAAAATTTTTGTACCTCTGAATTTGACGACATTTCACCGTAGACTTTCCTCTGAGATGTTTAGAAAAAATGAAAAGGGAAAAATCGTCCAAGGGGGGCGGTGAGTAGTAAAATGGGGGGCGGTAAATAGTACCACCCTATATTTTTTAATATTTGCATCAGCGAAAATTGATGATTGCCTTGAAATTGGTGAAAAGCCGAAAGCGTGTGGTATGAGGTTACTTTTCATTACTTTAACCTTTTTTGTTTTCTTTTTTTTTTTCCACAAGCTTGTTAGTTTTCAGCCTGCATATCACCTCTGACCATCCTTGCTGCCCTGCCAATTCCAAAGCCCACCTCACTCCAAGTAGCTCAGCTTCCACCTGGTTCTCAGCCCATTCCCATGCCTGTTTCCCTTCAAATACACCTGCTGCTTCAATTTCTGCTAGTAAGCCCACTCCTACCTTACCAAAAGAAGAAGTCAGAGCACTGAATTGAATGACAACAATTCCTACTCTCTTTAAAAATTCTTCTTCCTGGTAAGCATAGGGGTTGCTGATATTGATTAAATCAGGTGGTTTGCCCACTTTCAGCTCCACCAGCTCAATCCAGTCTCTTTTTGCCCCAGCTGCAATTTCCTTCACTAGAAATTCTTCCTGACTGAAGATGACTCTATTCCTCCCTTTCCAAATTCTCCAAAGCAGGCAAACTAATAAGGAGAGTCTGTCTTTGATAATGGTTGCTTTCCTGTTCCTGCTGACCTGCTCCCACCACTGTCTCAAATCAAATCTTGTTTCTTGAAATTCATCCCACTCCAGCCCTATCAGTTCCCAGCACCTCCTGGTTTTGCAGCACTTAACAAAAAGATGATTAGAGTCTTCAGGCTCCTCCCCACATAATGAACAAATGATGTATGTGGATCCTCCTTTGCTTGTCAATTAAACCTTAGTATTGAGAAACCCATTTAGAAGCCTCCACATGAAGTTTTTCATTTTAGGTTGCAGATTGAGTTTCCATGTGAAGGTCCACATCTGTTTTAGCTGAGGGGAATGACCACTGGTACTTGCCATATAAATAGCCTTTCCAGAAACAAGTGTAGCATACCTCTCATAGGCAGATTTCACAGTAAATACTCCTTTGTCATTAAAGGTCCATATCAGTCTGTTCTTACTCCTAACCACACTCAAATGGATTTTCAAAATTTCAGCTGCTTCCCATGGAGGGAAGGTTTGTTTAACCAGTTCAGAGTCCCATCTCCTTGCATTCTCCAGCATCAAGTCACTTACATCCACCAGCTTGCCTTGATCTCTCTCAAAAGTGCATGAAGGTTTGAACCCTGGCAAGTTTGGAACCAAAGGGGAATTCCAAATTGAAATCTGCACTCCATCCCTTATTTGGTATCTCACTCCCTTCAGAAATTTTTCTCTTACATTCAACCAACTCCTCCAAAGCCATGAATCATTATTTTTCTTCTTGACATCAAACAAACTTGAGTCATGGAAGTATCTACCTTTCATAAATTTGCTAAGGTGCAGGTTAGGCTGAGTGAGGACCCTTCACAATTGCTTGGAGATCAGAGCATCATTGAATTCAACAAGATTTCTAAACCCCATTCCTCCAACCTCTTTACCCTTAGTCATTTTGTCCCAAGAAGCCCAGTGCATCTTATCATTACCTTTCTCATTCTTTTCCCACCAGAATGAAGCCATAGTTTTGCACATCTCAGAGCACACAGATATTGGAATTTTAAAACATGCCATCACATACACAGGTAAGGCATTGAGAATAGTTTTTATAAGGATCTCTCTACCTGCCTCACTCAAGAAGTTATTTTTCCAACTGGTCACTCTTTATTTTACTTTCTCACACACAAATTTGAAAGTCTCTCTCTTAGACCTTCCTATTCCAAGGGGTAGACCAAGATATTTAGAAGAAGAGACCCTATCAATGCCCCTAAGAACAGAGCAAACATCTAAAACAGAGGCATTGGAAGTATTTTAGAAGAAGAAAATAGAAGATTTTTGAAGATTAACTGCCTGACCAGAAGCACTACCATAATCATTTAAAATTTGCATAAGCACATTAGTTTGAGATAGAGAGGCTTTGCAAAACAAAATAGCATCATCAGCAAAAAATAGATGGGTAAGAGTGGGAGCAAATTTACTCACTTTTAAACCCTTGAGGCTACCTGACAAACAAGCTTGTTTCAACAGATTGGAGAATGCTTCAGATAAAATAATGAACAAGTAAGGAGATAGAGGATCTCCTTGTCTCAACCCTCTAGATGGAATAACAGACCCTAACACTTGACATTGAATATTGAAAGAGAAGGAGGTGGTCCTCAGACATGAAAGGATCCAAGAAACAAATTTACTACAAAAACCCCATCTTCCTACAGACTTTGGTTAAGAACACCCATTCTACCTTGTCATAGGCTTTAGCCATATCAAGTTTAACAGCAATGAACATGTCTTTGCCTTTTCTTTTACTACTAATGAAATGAATGCATTCATTAGCAATCACTACATTATCTAGAATTTGCCTACTTGGGATAAAGGCTGCTTGATTAGAAGAAATGCAATGAGACAGAGTATTCTTAAGCCTGTTAGCAACAATTTTAGCAATGATTTTGTAAGATACTGTGCACAGGCTTATGGGTCTGAAATCAGCCATATGAATAGCATGTTTCTTTTTAGGAATCAGAGAAATGACTGTTTGATTAACTGATTTAGGCATTTTACCACATTCAAAAAAATTCTTGACAGCCATACAAAGATGAGATTTCACAGAAGGCCAAGACTTTTGGAAGAAATCAAGAGACATACCATCAACTCTTGGAGCTTTGTGAGGTTCCATTTCCATAAGTGCTGTCTTGATTTCCTCCTCCTCCACAGGTAAAGTCAACTGCCTATTCATCTCATCTGTATTTGAGGTAGGAATTCCTTGAAGATCACATCTTTCCACTTGAGGGTTGGAGGACATGAATAAACTCTCAAAGTAGCTCTGAACTTCATTGAGAGTATCCTGGCTGGTTGTACATTTATCCCCTTCAGAGTTCACCAAGTTTTCTAAGCTATTATTTTTCCTTCTTTGTTGCACTGTTGCTTGGAAGAACTTGGTATTTCTATCTCCTGATTTCAGCCATTATATTCTAGATTTAACCCTCCAAAACTCCTCCTCTTCTCTGTAGGCCCTGTTCAGCAAGTCTTTTTGATGGTTCCACTCATCCCAGTCTTTGTATCCACCCAACTGATTCAGTTCAGAGATTTTTTCTTTGCATTTTTTGATTGTAACCTCAGAATATCCTGACTGGTTGTACATTTATCCCCTTCAGAGTTCACCAAGTTTTCTAAGCTATTATTTTTCCTTCTTTGTTGCACTGCTGCTTGGAAGAACTTGGTATTTCTATCTCCTGATTTCAGCCATTGTATTCTAGATTTAACCCTCCAAAACTCCTCTTCTTTGTAGGCCCTATTCAGGAATTCTTTTTTATGATTCCACTCATCCCAGTCTCTGTATCCACCCAACTGATTCAGTTCAGAGATTTTTTAACTGATTCAGTTCAGAGATTTTTTCTTTGCATTTCTTGATTGTTTTCTTGAGAGTAACCTTTTTTGTTTTCATTCCTCAAAATTGTCAAATTAACATGGCAAATGATGTAGAAAAGATATTACAACAAACTGAGCATTACCAGAGAAAAAAATTCAAAATTTTCATGAGAAGTTTATATCCCAACTCAAATATAAAAGTGTTGATGTTAATTTTTTATGAAAAATTCATATCTTGAAGCATTGGTTTTTCAACAACCATCACTTAAAAAATTAATTTTTAGGTAACCAACATAATGCACTGCCAAATATCGCATTGACCTTGTGATATCACATTTTCACTCATTCACATCGATTCAAATTCGACAAACCAATTCGCAAGTGTAAGTTTCTTTATATTTTTCACTTACATACGTCGCATCGCAAATACACATACAATGCGCTCAAATACACAACGGACACAAACCAAATGACACAAAAACCACAGAATAAAATAACAAGGAACCATAAAAGTGGCATCCTCACCCAAAAGAAAAGAAA